CCAGGCTTGTCACTAACCGAAGCAATATCTAAAAAGTCGTTCTTGAGCCCTAGCCTGTTTGGCTCAGTGGATTTAGAACATTCGCCTGCGGAAGGGTCCCGGGTTTGATTCCGGTCAAGGGCACATGCCTGGATTGTGGGCTCGATCCCCGGTAGGGGGCGTGCAGGAGGCAGCCGATCAATGATTCTCATCATTGATGTTTCTAGCTCTCTCTCCCTCTCCCTTCCTCTGTGAAATCAATAAAAAATATATTTAATAAAAATAAAAAGTCATTCTCGAAGAAAAACTAAACACATTCCAAATAAAGGAGAAAATTAATATATTAATCATAGAGTTCAAATTTTATCCAACTTAAGAAAATTACAGATCAGGAAAAAACCTATTTGCAGTGATTTAGCTTCTACTTCTGTGAGCAATAAGAGAATAGATTGTGAATCTGGCACTAATAAAATGTTCATTAAGTGAAAAGCATTAAGATGTTAACTTGAAGAGATTCATTACAGACTTCAAATTACTTACTTTGAAAGTAGTTTGATTAGACGAAGGTCAGATTTTAGTCTAACATTTTTCTTTTTCTCTTTTGACACATAGTCAGCAGACATCTATAGGACCCCAGTAAAGGAGCCTGCTAAGTGGTAGCAGAATATATTTAGCATAGACGTCTCCAAGCAAAACTTCCCAAATGTTTTCTCCTTCCATCCCTGCACATGTTCCTTCTCCCCCTCACGCCCCCCTCCCCCACCCTACACACACACCAGAGTGTTATTTTGTGGACTAGTAGATCTGTGGAGACAGCTGCAGTAACAATTATACCAAGTAAAATTTTAAAGGTGGAGCTATATTTTACTTTTCTTGTGGCAAAGCAATGGAACAACCCTCCCATGGGGAGGAATAAACACAGAGCTCTGTATGTTAATGACATCGGTGTTCCAACAAAAATAGCACTTTCTAAGCAGCTGCATTTTAAGAGTATCTCTGAAGGATCAAATAGGAAGAGAGAGACAAGTTGTTTAAATACAAATAACTTTGACAATTAAAGAACTAGCATGACTAAGCGAGGAAAGACAAGTGAAAAGCAAACAGTCTGACACTTGAGCAAATTTAGGACTCCAAACATGTGGGAGTACTTTTAATTTTCGCTATCAGAATCTAAACCCCAAAGAACAGACAGGCCTGCAGCCTTTTACCTACTGGTGAGATACTATATTACAGTTGCCATCAGATGTACTGCATTCCAGAAAATCCCAAAGGCATAATTTGTAGCTGTCATCAACTAGCAAATCAGTCTCAGAGGTCCTCCCAGCTGTTACATGTCTGAAAGTTTCACACACAATCCAATCCCTTCCCATGGCTATCAAAGAACTTACTACAGGAGAGGTGGCTAAGAGTTTGCTCTGCCCTAGAAATCCTTTCCAGGTCTGGGATCAGCACAAATACCTTTATAAACAACAGAAGTAAATGTTACATACCATCACAATATTACTCCTAAACCTTTAAAATCAACTTGATAATCAATTTGGTGGCGAATAGTTAAATGTCTCACAGTATCCTTGGGAGATATTTAACCCACAGGTCCAATTTTCTGACAGTCTCCTGTTTTCTAAATAATTCAAATTTAATAGTGTCATGGATGTACAACACAACCTTTTAGAAAAAAAGAAAAGGAGCATAAACAGCAGCACTCATTAATGTTGGCTCAGTGGAATAGAGACTTCTTAGGCATATCACTTTTTTGCCCTCAGCTGAGAAAAGAAAACTCCCTGGACCACCCTGATACAAAGAATCAAAATCAAGCCACACAAAAAAAGCAAAATACCTTTTAAGGCTAAGGGTAACATCTTAACTTTTATAGAAGGGACAAATGAAGACCTATTTAGGAAACATTCTAAGGAAGGCTCAAAATGCTAAACCTGGTATGGCAATTCCTCAAAAAAATTAAACAAAGAATCACCATATGATCCTCCAATTCTATTTCTCAGTTAATGCCCAAAAGAAGTAAAAGCAGGGACTGAACAGATGTTTGTACACCCATGCACAAATAACCAAAATCACAATAACCAAAAGGTGGAAGTAACTTGCTTGGGGCTTCGTCAATGGATGAATAAATAAACAAAATGTGACATATACATACAATGGAATATTATTTAGCCTAAAAAGGAAGGAAATTCTGACACATGCTACAACAGGAGTGAACCTTAAAAACATTAGGCTAAGTGAAATGACCAGTATTTTATAGTTTACTAAGTGCTTTCATATACATTACATCATGTAATTCTCACAACCACTTCCCTATGAAACAGTTGATATTGCCATGATCTCCATTTTATAGGTAGTGGAAAGAGTTCAGAGAAGCTAAATAACTTGCTCAAGGTCAGACAAAAACAAAAAAATCCAGTTTCTCTAACTGAAATTTCCATACTCCTTTCAATATATCATGCTGAGTTTTCTGTTTACCTCCATGGAAGCCTTTGATGCAACTCTATAGAAGGAGGCAGTATGGTACAGAACAGGAGTGGGGAACATCTGGCCTGAGGGCCTATTTATTTGGTCTGGCCCTGCCAAGGCATTAGGGGTGAGTTCATTAAATGTTTGACAATATATACTCAGGAAGGCTAATTTTTAAGTTGACAATTTTGTATGGCCCGCAAATGATGTTATAAATATCCAAATGACCCTTGGAAGAAAAAAGGTTCCCCACCTCTGGTGTAGAAGAAAGAGCCCTGGACTTGGGAGTTAGAAGACCTATGATTAATTCTCAGCTTTGCCACACGACAGTTGTGAGACTTTCTGCATTTCACAATAGCTTTAAGACTCAGTCTCTTCATTGGTAAAAGTGTACTTTAAGTTTATAATATAGTCTTCTTTATAGAGTTTGATAATTAAAGAAGACAGTAAATGAAAGAGCAGAACAAAGTTTAGAACTTAAGTGAAAATAAATGTCACAAAGAAAAAATGTAAGCTTTCACAGGCTAAGCATCACCAATATTTCCCCCTGATCTGGCCTTAGTGTGCTAAGTGGCACTTATCACAAACACATCTTTCTAGGAATCTCCTGAGAAAACTGACTACATCTCTGATACATCTGACACATACTCTGAGTCTAATTCATTAGCAACAGTGAAAATGATATAATAATTATTCTCTTCAGCAAATTCATCAAAAAAGTTTGAGGAATAAAAATGGAGTACAAGCCTAACAAAGACTTGCAAAGAGAAGAAAGAGATCATAGTCATAGGCATCTGCTAAAAACTTAACCCAGTCCTGGGGGCGAGCTGGAGGGGGTCAATGGAGGGAAAGGGGGGACATATATAATACTTTCAACAATAAAGAATTATTAATTAAAAAAAAAAACTTAATCCAGTCCTTTCTGGTCTATTCAGAAAAAGGACAGGCCAAGACCTTAAACCAGCTGTTTGATGGCCCTTGAAAAGAATAAGGACAGTAGCCAAGCCAGAAGTCACTGAAAGGAAAAGCAACAAATTAGAAGATAAAGCAAGCATAAAAGAATGTGATCAAGGAAACAGATCCCAGATGAAAAGGAGCTGCCTGGAAAGACCAAGTAAATATATGAATAAATAAACATAATGTAATTTATACCCATATGCACTTTATAATCTAACCCAGAATCTTGTGCTTCTTTCAAATACCCACATTTGTCATATTGCCCTCGGGTCACAAAGGGATATTTGGAATAAAGCAGTTTGTAATTCCCGATTCTTACAGAAAATCATATTTATTATAAGGCCTCACTACCATATCTGGTTTACTTGCTAGGTGCAAATATACATTTATTTGTGAGATTTATAAAACTGTATTTGCTACAAAATGTCTCTGGGGTCAGGTAAGGCAGATCAACCTTCAGTGCAATCTTGTTAGCACATCTCACCCTCATGCTCCCTCAGCCCAGCCCTCACAACGCAATTTCACACTTTTCCTTTCATTCCCAGACATGCCAAACACTATAGTAAATCACTACAGGGATAGGACAGTTTGCCTTAAAAAAAAAAAAAAAGCTATGGAAACAAACACTGACTCCAAGCTCTGTCACACATTAGGATATACTAAGTTGTAAATGTATATTACTATTACTGGGAATGCCTGGCAAGGCTTACATCTGGAGCTAAATCAAGTTTCCCCATCTGTTGGGTTTGCCTCATCCACTCAATGTTAATTTTTCAATTGTTTGCAAGAACAATTTAATAACTGTTGAGAAAAATGGAAAATGATAGACACAGAGGAAGCAAGAAATACAAGAAAAGTAAGTCAGCTTTAGGTTTCCCAATACTGAAGGCATAGTTTCTCCATTTACAAACAGCTCACTCCAGTGAATGTGTGGTATTTCCTTCTATGTCTCTGGATCTATTTTGTTCATCAGCTTATTTTATTCATTAGATCCCACATATGAGTGAGATCTTGTGATATTTGTCTGTCTCTGACTGGCTTATTGTGCTTAGCATAATACTTTCCAGGTCCCTCCATGTGGTATTTCCTTAAGACCCTAAACCAACTCCATGTATGACTCAGTTTTATCCAATACCTACAGCACTCTGTAATTGTCTTGCTGCTTCATAAGGAACCTAAAATGACTTAGCCCCACAAGCTCCATTCCATGTGCCTCTATTTACCACAAATAGAAATAGCCATGTAAAGCAAAATGTCAAAGTTCCAGATTCCCATGAGTCATTCTTTGAACTGAGAACGGCAGAAAAAATTTTCAAAGAAAAGCTTTCAGATGCCCTATACACAGAGGTGCCTGAAAAGGCCCTGCAACCATCTCTGAGTAAGAAAAGAAAATTCACAGAACAGCACTGTGAGTTATTTCAATGACAAAATGAAAGTCTCATGCACGCCTGCTTTTCTTGATCAAGTACGACAATTTCTTCCACTCCTACAGGCATCAGGGCTTAAAATAGTAGTGGTGTTCAACAAACTACTTAGAAAAGTACAACACACCTGAGGATGAACCAAGGAACTCTGAAAGAGAAAATCTCATTCCTTACCTGATATTAACCAATGCATGGGTCACCTTGCTAGCAGCTTCTTTCCACTGGCCTGCATTGGTAGAAAGCCTCAGGACTGTACAGAAGGAAAGAACAAAGATCTGTCAGACCCCTGGTATAAAACACAGATATGAAGATGAAGACACGTCTCAGAATAGCACTATTAGAATAACCAAACAGAGCCTGTACCAAGCTTCTGTTTAAAATGTCCTCATCCTGCCCTGGCCAGTTTGGCTCAGTGGATAGAGCGCTGGCCTGCGAACTGAAGGGTCCCAGCTTCGATTCCGGTCAGGGGCACATGCCCGGGTTGTGGGCTCGATCCCCAGTGGGGGACTTGCAGGAGGCAGCCAATCCACCATGATTCTCTCTCATCATGGATGTTCCTATCTCTCTCTCCCTCATCCTTCCTCTCTGAAATCAATAAAAATATATTAAAATAAATAAATAAAATAAAATGTCCTCATCCTAGCTCTAGCTGGTTTGGCTCAGTGGATAGACCATCCACCTGAGGACCGAAGAGTCCCAGGTTCAATTCCAGTCAAGGGCACGTATCTCAGTTGCAGGCTCTTTCCTAGACCAGGCCCTGGGTGCATGCAGGAGGCAACCAATAGATGTGTTTCTCTCACATCGCTATTTCTCTCTGTCTTTCCCTCTCACTTCCACTCTCTCTGGAAAAAAAAAAAAATCAATGGAAAAATATTCTTGGGTGATGATTAAAAGAATAAATAAAATTTAAAAATAAAATGTCCTCATCCTAGAGTAGCGATTTTCAACCAGTGTGCTGCAAGAATTTTTTAAATATATATATATATATATATATATATATCTTTTTTACAGAGAGGAAGGGAGAGGGATAGAGTTAGAAACATCAATGAGAGAGAAACATCGATCAGCTGCCTCCTGCACACTCCCTATTGGGGATATGCCCGCAACTAAGGTACATGACCTTGACCGAAATCGAACTTGGGACCCTTCAGTCCGCAGGCTGACGCTCTATCCACTGAGACAAACAGATTAGGGCTGCAAGAATTTTTAAACATGCAATATCTATCTAGTCAAGAGCACTGACCTCTTTGCCTGTAGACCAGCGGTTCTCAACCTGTGGGTCGCGACCCCTTTGGGGGTCGAACGACTCTTTCACAGGGGTCGCCTAAGACCATCGGAAAACACATATATAATTACATATTGCTTTTGTGATTAATCACTACGCTTTAATTATGTTCAATTTGTAACAATGAAAATACATCCTGCATATCAGATATTTACATTACGATTCATAACAGTAGCAGAATTACAGTTATGAAGTAGCAACAAAAATAATTTTATGGTTGGGGGTCACCACAACATGAGGAACTGTATTAAAGGGTTGCGGCATTAGGAAGGTGAAGAACCACTGACCTAGACCCAGCTTATTCGCTCTGTCTGTCATTTCTTCATCCTTTCGCTGCCCTCACTCAGGCTTTCGAACCCTTGGCTGAGCTGGCTCGGAAACCAGACTAATATCCTTCATGAATATTTGCAAATCAAATCCAACAACACATAAAAATGATAATAAGTTATAATCATGTAGGGTTGGTTTAACATTTAAAACTCAATCAATCACTCTAGCAATACTCTACAGTAGGAAAACCATGTGATCATCTCAATAAATGCTAAAACTGTTTTAATAGTATCCAACATTTATTAATGATAATACCTCCACTGAAACTAGAAACAAAAGGGAATTTCTTTAACCTGATAAAGGGCATCTATGAAAACCTATAGCTAATATCACATTTAATGAAGAATAATTGAGTATTTTATATTGGAAACAAGGCAAATATATCCATTCTCACAACTCTAATTTAACATACTACTGGAGGTCCTAGCCAGTGAAATAAGGCAAGAAAAAAAAGGCATACAAATTGGAATAAAAACTGTTTTATTCGCAGGTAACATGGTCTACACAGAAAATCCCAAAAAGGTTATAAGAAGCTACTAAAGCTAATAAGTGAGTTTAGCAAGATGACAGGATACAAGGTGAAATTTAAAAATTAAAGTGTTTCTATATATTAGCAATGAACAAATTAAAAAATTGAGATTCTAAATAATACCATTTACAATAGCACCAAAATCCATGAAATATTTTGAGATAAATTTAATAAAATATATTTAAGATTTGCCCTGGCCAGTGAGGCTCACTTGGTTAGAGCATTGCCCCATGCATCAATGGGTCACGGGTTCAATTCCCAATAAGGGCACATATGGGAGGCACAGATCAATGTTTCTCTTTCACATCAATATTTTTCTCTCTCTCTCTCCCTCTTCCTTCCTCTCTCTCTAGAATTAATGAAAAACATATCCCCGGGTGAGGATGAAAAAAATACAGGGTGTACCTCCCCCCCCAATGTATACATACTTTAACAGCTGGTAGCTAAATTTTGAAAATGAAAAGTATTTTAATAAACACTGGTTTTAAAATTATTCAAAGTGTGTGTACACATTTTTGGGGGGACATGATATGTGTGTGTGTGTGTGTGTGTGTGTGTGTGTGCGCGCACGTGCGCACAAGATTTTCATGCTGAAAACTACAAAATAGTATGAAAAAAACAGAACCACAGGCACGGAAACATGGAACAAACTGACTAATCTCAGAGGGAAGTGGGGAGGGGAGGTGGGGAGAAATTAACCAAAGATCTTATATGCATACTAGAGGCCTGCAGGGATCAGGCCAAAACTGGCTCTCCGACATCCCCCAAGGGGTCCCAGATTGCGAGAGGGTGCAGGCCAGGCCAAGGGACCCCACTGGTGCACAACTGGGGCTGGGGAGGGACCACGGGAGGGCTCCAGAGCATGTCCTGCCTAACTCGCCCAGTCCCAATCAGCCGGACCCCAGCAGCAAGCTAACCTACAGGTCAGAGCGTCTGCTCCTGGTGGTCAGTGCACACCATAGCGATCGGTCAAACAGTTGAAAGGTCAGAGGGACAATTAGCATATTAGGCTTTTATATATATAGACTAGAGGCCCGGTGCACGAAATTCGTGCATTCAGGGGTGATCCCTCAGCCCGGCCTGCGCAGTCCGGGAGCCCTCGGGGGATGTCTGACTGAGAGCAGGCCTAAGCTGGCAGTCGGACATCCTTAGTGGAGCCTCTCCCACCACCGCCACTGCTCTTGCCAGCCATGAGCCCGGCTCAGGGATTCTGGCTGAGCGGCGCTTCCCCTGTGGGAGTGCACTGACCACCAGGGGGCAGCTCCTGCATTGAGAGTCTGCCCCTTGGTGGTCAGTGCGCATCATAGCAACCAGTCATTCCACTGTTCAGTCAATTTGCATATTAGCCTTTTATTATATAGGATATGCATTACATATGGACATAGACAATAGGTTGGTGAAGGCCTGGGGCAGGATGGGAACTGGCTGGAAGGGGACAATGGGGGAGCGGGGGAGGGAGACATCTGTAATACTCTTAACAATAAAGATTTTAAAAATAAAAATAATAATGTATCTGCTTTGGAAAACAGTTTGATAGTTTCTTATAAAGTTAATATATTTATCAAACACCCAAAAATCCCATTCATAGGTATAATCAAGTGAAATGAAAACTTGTACTCACACAAACCCTGCACAAGAATGTTTGTAGAGGCTTTATTTATAATTGCTAAAAACTAGAAACCTCTCAAATGTACTTCAATTGACAGATAAACTAAACTGGCATATTTCTACAATGAAATATGATTCTATAACAAAGAGGAATGAACTACTAATACATGCATCAACATGGATGAATTTCAAACAAATTACTCTATAAAAGAAGCCAGACTCAAAAGGCTATATCAGTGGTTCTCAACCTTCCTAAAGCCGCAACCCTTTAATACAGTTCCTCATGTTGTGGTGACCCCCAACCATAAAATTATTTTCGTTGCTACTTCATAACTGTAATTTTGCTACTGTTATGAATCGTAATGTAAATATCTGATATGCAGGATGTATTTAGGTGACCCATGTGAAAGGGTCGTTTGACCCCCAAAGGGGTCGCGACCTACAGGTTGAGAACCTCTGGACTATATGATCCCATCCACATATATGTATTTTTTAACTTTTAAAAATTTTTTCCTTTTTATTGAATTTATTGGAATGACACCGATTAACAAAATTATACAGGTTTCATGTGCACAATTCTACACCACATCATCTGTACACTGTACTGTGTGTTCACCACCCCAAGTCAAGTCTCCATCCATCACTATTTATCCCCCTATACCCTCCTCCACTGCCACAACACCTCCCCCTACCCCACTCCCGCCCCACAATCACTAACTGTTATTCCTGTATATATATGTATTTTTTTTAGAAAAGGCAAAAACTGTGTGGACAGGGAACAGATAAGTGGTTGCTAGGGGTGGTGGGTAGTGAAAGAGTTGATCTCACAGGAGCACAAGAAAAAGTTTGGAGGTAATGAAACTCCCATATCTTGAATTTTTGTGGCAATTACACTTCTATATGCATTTGTCAAAACTCAGAATTGTATGAATCTCAGAGAGAAGGGGGTAGGGGGGGGAAGAGATTAAATAAAGAATGTGCATGCATTTATACATAAACTATGGACACAGACAATAGTGCGGTAGGTCTGGGTGTGTGTGGTGAGGTGGGATAGAAGGGGTCAATGGGGGAAAAAAGGGAACATCTCTAATACTTTCAATAATAAAGATAAATATAAAAAATCTCCTCAAAAAACTTGACTTAAGGCCTAGCTAGTTTGGCTCAATGGATACAACGTCAGCTGTGGACTGAGTCCCGGGTTTGATTCAGTCAAGGGCACATGCCCAGGTTGCGGGTTCCATCCCCAGTGGGGTGTGTGCAAGAGGCAGCTGATCCATGATTCTCTCTCATCATTGATGTTTCTATCTCTCTCTCTCCCTTCCTTTCTGAAATCAATAAAAAATTTAAAAAAAAACGACTTAAAAAAGGCTTTTTCCATCAGAAGTTTCATCATACTTTATAAAAAATGGAGAGTGCTAAAACATGCTATCTCCATTTGTTGTGCTTAATTTAGTAAAAATTTCACTTTTCTATTTGTGTTTTCCAGGTTAACATTTTTTAAGATAAATTTTTTATTGTTGATAATATTACAGATACTTTCCATTTCCCCACCCTTTCCCCCCTCCAGGTTAACATTTTAATTCCCTTGGCAGATTTGAGCATTCCCAGATATCCTCTCTCATCTTGTTGCTATAGCTACAAGGACTTAATCTCATTTACTCTGTACATGGCCCAGTTAAGCAGGTATGACAGGCTTCTATAAAATATCTCTCCCACTCCAACTCTTTTTCTTTCCTCATTGAAAGGCACCTTTATTCATCTATTAATGGGTGCTGAAGCCTGGAATGTATACGTGTATATATAATAGCTTCATATATATATGTATGTATATGTGTGTGTGTCAAAGAAATAAAATATTGTATACTACTTTAAATGAGTGCACTTCATTATATACCAATTACCCCTCAATAAAGCTATTAAGTTGGGGATTTTTTTTTAAATACATTTTATTGATTTTTTTACAGAGAGGAAGGGAGAGAGAAACATCGATCAGCTGCCTCCTGCACATCTCCCACTGGGGATGTGCCCGCAACCCAGGTACATGCCCTTGACCGGAATCGAACCTGGGACCTTTCAGTTCCCAGGCCAACGCTCTATCCACTGAGCCAAACCAGTTTCGGCTAAGTTGGGGATTTTAATAGACAGCTTTACTAAGTGAATTTCTGTTTCTGTGAAATCTTTCCTGAACTTTCAAACTCCAGGTAGGTTTGACTAGACTCTTTACTCAAATTTATAGGGATACATGACCTCTTTCAGAAATATAGGTGGGGCAAAAGTAGATTTACAGTTGTGAGTATTCGAAACACAGAGTTTATTCTTGTATTATTATTTATTAATTATTGTATTTTCCTACGAACAACTGTAACCCTACTTTTGCCCCACCCTGTAGTTGTACTCATTATGGCCAAAGAGTACATTTCAGTGCCAATCACCAAAAGGTTTGCAAAAAAGATTTTTATTTAATGCCCACTTCCTCTTGTAAGTTATGCTAAAATACATAGGTATATTAAAACTCCTTAAAATCTTGTACTTTCTCAAATAACACGATGTTCTTCCTTTGGGATCCAAGCTCTTCTATTTCCACTGTCAATTCCCACCCACTCCTTCTCTCCCATCTCACTGCATTCACTAATGTCCACAAGCCTCCCTATTCTCTCTTTTTCTCACAAACATCAAGAAAGGGCTACAGGGCTGCTAACCAGCTTTTTACTGAGATGAATTCTGAGTTCCTGAAGGCAGAAAAGCCCACATATTTCTTCTTATTGCCTGAGAAGAAAAGACTACTGCATTTCTATGCCAAGCAAGGGCACCAAGCAACTACAGAATCTTTTGTAGTCTTTTCTTTTTATATGCTAAAAATCACAGCTGATGCAGAGAGCTGAGCAAAAAGAGGGGAGAGAGGAGTAAAAAGAAAAGACAGCTTACCCATGGAGTATAGGTTGTCAAAGCTCTGGTGCATGCGGATAATCTCATAGTAGAGTTCATCATAGCTGCTTGGGGTGGGCAGGAATGTATCACCGTATGTGATAAACATATTAAATAGGTTCACAATCTAAAAAGGAAGCAAAAGCCCATACACAGGTATCACACTATGAAGACTGGAAGGTATCAGTTGTATACTGCAGCCAGCTCTTACTGGCTTGTAAGAGCTGATTGTTACATTTTCAGGAATTTGGGAGCTAGTTATTAAACAAAGCCATTATTAAAAAATAATTTATGTAAACTTACAATTTAATAAATTATATTACAATGAAAGTAATAAATACTAAAACTCATCACTTCCCAATTACTTTCTATCTTTTAGTATTATCTATGCTCTTGAGATTAATATTTTTAAAATATATTTTATTGATTTTTTACAGAGAGGAAGGGAGAGGGATAGAGAGTTAGAAACACCAATGAGAGAGAAACATCGATCAGCTGCCTCCTGCACACCCCCTACTGGGGATGTGCCCACAACCAAGGTACATGCCCTTGACCGGGATCGAACCTGGGACCCTTCAATCCGCAGGCCGACACTCTATCCACTGAGCCAAACTGGTTAGGGCTTGAGATTAACTTACATCTCTTAAATCTGATGTGATGGGAATACCATATATAATGGTGTGTTATGCTTGTCTTTTCCCAACTCTGCATTCAATGATGCCATTTTGATAACTTTGAAATTGGCCCTGATGGGTATAGTTTTACCGTGGAAATCAGCAAAAGATATAAATCAGGACTTTTTCCCCAAAAAATGTTAAACATTTATGAACACACTGGGTAATATCTTGAGAAGACAGTAAAAAGGCAAAATGCCCACCTATTACCCCAAATAACCAGTCAGATAAGCAGGCATCTGCAATGTCCCTCAGAAACTAAGTACAGCCATGATGGAACTATTCACGTGGCTGGGACACCTCTAGAGGCTTTGCTATGTACCAACATAGATACTATAGTACAGTCTCTCAACTGGGACCGAGGCTCATACTCATACACAGAGATCTGACCTATACCTTCCCCTGCCAAGCAATATTAAAGAGAAAGAGTCCTGCCCTGGCTGATGTGGCTCAGTTGGTTGGAGCGAAGGGCTGTAGGTTCAATTCCCAGTCAGGGCATATACCCAGGTTGCGAGTTCAATCCCCAGTCAGGGCGTGTATGAGAGGCAACCAATAGATATTTCTCACATCAATGTTTCTCTCTCTCTCTCTCTCTCTCTCTCTCTCTCTCTCTCTCTCTCCTTCCCTCCCCCCTTCCTTCCTCTCTAAAGTCAGTAAAAACATATCCTTAAGTGAGGATTAAAAAAAAAAAAAAAGAATAGAAAGTGTACCAGGTTCACCAAAGACATAGGTAAGAGTAGGGAGCACCCTTACAGAGATTCTAATCCAAAAGGAAAGTAAAAATAAAGACCTGGTTCCCTATGGCTTAGTCCCCAAAACCCAGCTCCTGTTTCAAACCAGCCCATCTCTGTCTTAGGGTAGAACTTCAGAAAAATAAATATTTTTTGGTTACTCACCATAAGGGCTAATGTAAAAATGTTGTGTTTGGCCAAAAGTACAGTCTCGTTTGACATAAGGAACTTCAGCAAATTTATCAAGGCTTAAAAAAAAAAAAAGACAGACATCAACAAGCTATTCAAAGCATAACTAATAAAGTTAAATGAAAGCAATGAAAGTCAACTAGCTCTACAGAAATCCAAATAGGGCTAAAATGAGTAAGTCACAGCTACTAAGAACTTTTTAAAAGCAGGTAAGGTGGGTATATTTGAAGAATTGACCTTCCCAAGCACAAGTCTGCTTATCTGCCCATGGAAGGTTTTTAAAAATCTACTTCTTTTTGCCACCTCTTTAAGAGCAATTAAGCTCAGAAATTTGACTATAAAATACATATTAAGTATTCCAAATTTATACCCCCATCAAATTTGCTCAATTTACAAGTCAAAATAAGGGTTCCCTTCTCACCCTAGGCTGCTAGCATCTCCTGTCACCAAATTTTAGCTATGTACCTGTTTCAAACATCATTGCTAAGAGGGACATTTTTCAATTCTAACTGATCACCAGATGAGCCAGCTATGCTGTAGAACTTACACCTGGGCTTCAGCGCGGAATTGGAAGAGAGCTCATGAAGAGGAAAAATAAAAAAGCCCTTAACTGTTCCAACTATTCAAACAAATGTACAGCTCTGCTCTGTCCTTTCTCAACCAAGACAACACTTACTGAAAAAGTCCTCTTTCTGCCTGGCAATCCTTATTGAGGGGAGAGATTGTCAAAACCCAAATAATCTCAGTAAAGAGACTGCCAAGTCCATAGGTTAGCAGTGCAGCTTTAAAGACATTTTACAAATAAATATTAAGCATAAAGAAAATTATCACTTGCCCTGTACTCATTCACGTAGGACTGTGAAATTAATCCTGCTTCTGTGTCCCTCATGACCATCAGCTCTGTCTTAGCAGCCCTATTTGATGGCAAACTACAAAGAAGGGGTTTGGCAGTTGCAAGCAATTGGTGGTCCTCCCGTCTTCTCTTCTTCAACCATCCTCACTTCCACAGACACAAAAAAAAAAGGTTTGACCTCTCCTTTTCTAAGACCATATCTGCTTCTTTGCCAGCAAAGTCCATTCTATGATGTTCTCTGAGCTTTGTATGAAGTTTACTACTCTTAGAGAAGAGACATGGACTTTGATTTGAAACAGCAGGGAATAATGAGTAGGAGTAAAACTCTCTCAGCACTGGCTGCCTGCCACACAACACCCCTCACTCTCAAATCCTCTAAAAGCACAGGTACAATAAGGAAGCAGCAGGTAAGGAAAAGTACAAAAGCCTGTCCACATTCTGTTTCTAAGCCTGAATCTTCCCCTCAAATAGCAAAAGAGTCTTGCTAAGGATGAAGGAGGTAGGAACTCATTTATGAACTCTTTACTCCTGCCCCAACTCAAAGTCTTTGAGGTTTCATAATGGACAGGCAAGTGATAGGCAGCTGGGCCTTTTGATATGGTCTGTTAACAAGTGATCTGTTAGACTGGGGAAAAAAAAGAAAAAGCTCCATGGGAGGATCACGTAATCTGCTTAGCTACTACCAGGAGCTCAGATAATGAAGGGGACTAACATTAAAATTCATACAAAACTAACCCAGACCAAATCTCTCTCATTAATGATCACTTTGTTGAGTTCATTTAAGGGCTGCCCATTCCACCCTCTACCTCAGAGCTTAGACAAGCCCTGCTAATGGATAGATCACATGACAATCACACGCTATAAACTCACAGGAGAAAAAGAGGAATTGACGGGTAGCACGCGTGGAACTCTGCAAAACATAACGGCTGGAGAGAGATAAAGCAGCTTTTGCACAAATCCAATCAACAAGGATTTTGTCCCCAGCACACACAGCACAAAGATGCAACGTCAGCAGTGGTTATATGATAAATAAGGGACCCAAAACCTGGAGAAAAGGAAGTGGAAACAATGATTTATTGCCCCTCTGCTGGACTACAGTTAGTCTTGATCTCTGGGATTCAGAATCAGGGATTACAAAGTGATAAATATTAGAGAAGGAAAAGAGCAATTCTGGCACAATCCAAGAGGTGACCTGTGTCCCAACTGCAAGAGACATCAACAGAGCTGAACAGTAGTGAGGAGGAGAGTCAGGCACTATAATACTGAGAGTCAGTGCCAGGGGATACCTGCATCTTGCCCCTGATAATTTAGGTCAGATCCCCCCTTTCCCTCCAAAAAACAAGCCAAGATTTTATCACCTGGAAGTAGCCATTCTCTAAAGCAGGGGTCAGGAACCTTTTTCCTACCAAAGGCCATTTGGATTTTTTTAAAATATATTTTTATTGATTTCAGAGAGGAAAGGAGAGGGAGAGAGAGATAGGAAACATCAATGATGAGAGAGAATCATTGATCAGCTGCCTCCTGCACGTCCCACACTGAGGATCGAGCCCACAACCCGGGTACGTGCCCCTGGCTGGAATCGAACCCAGGACCCTTCAGTCCACAGGCTGACGCTGTATCCACTAAGCCAAACCGGCTAGGGCCCATTTGGATATTTATAACATCATTCACTCAATATAAATTTATGTTGTGCCCAGCCTGCGTGGTTGAGTGGTTGAAAGTTGACGCATGCAGCAGGAGGTCACGGTTCAATTCCCGGTCAGGGCACATGCCCGGGTTGCAGGATCAATCCCCAGTGTGGGGTGTGCAGGAGGCAACCGATTAATCATTCTCTCTCACCATTGATGTTTCTCTCTTTCTTTCCCTTCCTCTCTGAAATCAATAAAAATAAAAATAAAAAAATTTATGTTGCTCTGAAAAAAGCTCCTAGATTTATTGAATTTCAAGTCTGGCTTGGCAGGGTCCAACCAAGCGGGCCTTATATGGCCTACGGGCCGGAGTTCCCAACCCCTGCTCTACAGGGAATTTAACAGGCAGCTAAAGGAACAAAGCAACCTTAAAATTGGCTCCCACAAGCCTCTGACATCAGGGACCACAATTCCTCTCCAACAGAGAATGCCCCAAATATCCCATGAAATAGTGCTTTTTCCCCTTCATCATCTCCCTGACTTTGCACTCATTCTACCAACTGTTCAGTGTATTCTACATCACTATACACACATTGTCTTTTACCTCTGACCTGATGTGATGAGAGGTCTAAGTCTATGAGGCTTCAACATAGCTGATTATAGATGTTTTAGAGCTAGAAAGGACATTAAAAGTCATTTAAGGTTTCGGGCTCAATCCCTAGTAGAGAGTGTGCAGGAGGCAGCTGATCAATTATTCTCTCTCATCATTGATGTTTTTATCTCTCCCTTCTTCTCTAAAATCAAAAATATATATATTTTTTAATTTGTTTAAAATAACAGACAACAGATCAATGTATTTCTTTCCATAGAAACTAACATGATCCCCACAAACACTCCATCTCAACTTTCTATAACCTCACCATAACTGATTACCAGCTGAAATTTACATTACAGTACATAGTACTAAGTACAGGGCCAAACATACAAAGGTATTTCCTCTCTGATGGGGAAAGGAAAGGAGCCAAGTACATTCAATCAACAGAGAGAGCCATGAATTCTTGGGCAGGAATGCAAATTCAAAAGGAAATCTGGGCAGCCTTCAAGACAAACCTATGGCAATCTTCAGAATAATAATCAAAGTTCACAAAACCACCAATGCACTGAAGCACCGACAATATTCTAGGAAATCCTTGGGAATTCTGGGTTCGACTCCTAATCTTTGCTATCTCTACTAAATGAAGCTCCAGATACCTGGCTCCAATTACTCTTAACTTGAATGAAAAATAGAGAAGTATGTCAGTGCAATATTTGAGGTATTATATTACACATTCAATACATTGTTATAGGGAAATGGGTGTTCCACACACACAAATTCTTCATTGTAAGGTCTTTTCCATCAGGCACTTTGAAAACTTAATTTCTGGGCTCTTTTTCAGGAACTAGAAATTGACTGCAACTGCTGCCTCTTTTGACTCTGTACTGGAGGCAACTGTCAATATCACACTTAGCTTTGGCCCAAGCTCCTTTCCTTGGGGAATCTTGTGCATGAAGTATGGCAGTGGTGTGCAGCAGTTCTGACTTACTGAATGCCGACAGGAGGAATAAAGGATAGTGTGCAGGTTCTGGGAAGCTGAGCCAGGAACAGGTACCTTGATGGTTCCTGGGTCCCAAGTGAATTCTCAGAGGCAGAGACAACCAATCTATTTTTCAAATGGGAAGAGTTCAGTACCATCACCTGAGAATCCTGCCACCTTATACATAAGGTCCCCCTTCAACCCTCAAGAAACCTTGTTTGCCAAACTGTTCCTAGCATTTACGTACCTCACATCATGAAGACGCTCAAATTTTATCCTATTTTAAATTCAAATTGTATTGCCATGTAGGAGAGTAGAATGAATAATGGATATGGGAACTTCTCCAGAACTAAAACCTGTCCCCCACACTGAGGTAAACCAGGTGCACAGATGAACAAGCCAACCAAGGAAAGACACAATTAAGTGGTCCTCAGATGCCTGCCTCATGAGAAGCAGAGGGGAGGTTTAATTACAAACCCAAGTGAATGACATTTAAATAAAATTAAAAACAGGAAGGAGACAGAGAGCCTCCAGCAGAACATAAATAAATGTCTCGGAAAATTCAGGGCAGAGAGAGCTGTCTGTTGGACAGCTTTTATATGCTATGAAGAGAAAGAGATACAAAGCAAAGACAAGAGTTTGCCAGGCTCTATTTTGTGGCCTGGCATGGAGCTAGGATAAGATGCCACAGATCACAAATCAAAAAAAAAATCCGCTCATTAGGGGAAACAGACAAATAATTTCACAGGGACTGATAGCAGAGAAATATTAGCATTTCACTTGCTTAGGAGAGAGGTAGAAGAACTTAAAGGACAGACTAGAAATAGCACTAGTGTAATAAGCCAAAGCCTCCAAAACCCCAGAGGCACTATAAACTCCAGCCAATTCTAGCATCTCTGGACAAAATCACCAATTGTCCAGGGACATTGCCAGCAATCAGTAGCCTCACTGTCAATCAACAAAGTGGCACAGGAAGGATTTAGAAGCAAGCACTCACCAATAGA